CACACCCCCCACTAGGAATGTGCCCACAACCAAGGTACATGCCCTTAACCGGAATCGAACCTGGGACCTTTCAGTTCGCAGGCCAACGCTCTATCCACGGAGCCAAACCAGCCTTGGCTATTATCCTCCTTTTAAAGAGGAAGAAACTGAGACCCAGAGCAATTAAACAACAGCGAATAAATAAAGAAGCAAAGAATTAATCCGAGACAGTCATGGTCTGGGACCTTCACCCTTAACCTCGAAGCCAGAACTGGGTCGTCAGCTGCAAATGGTGCTCTGGTTTATTAGTCTTTATAGATCAACTTGGCTAGGCTCGGACCCAGATATTAGGTCAACTACCAGTCTGATTTTCACTGCGAAGGTATTTTGAAACGGGGCTATCTAATGTAGTGACCAACACCATCAGCATTGGTGTCACATAGACACTGGTGTTCATGCCCAGAATGCCACTTACTAGCTGAATATCCTTAGACATATTATTAGGTAAATCTCTTTGCTTCAGTTTCCTTAATCTAGTGCCTAATTTACTTGGTTGCCAAAGGGGTTACATTAGATAATGTTTGCAACGTGTTTAGCCACTGAAACTACATATTAAATCTCCTGTAAATGGTACTTACTAACATAAATTTTGTCCTCAAAAATATCAGAATGCATTTAGAATGTTTACAGCCAAATGAGCCATTTCCAAGGAGGAAGGCGGAGTCCCTGGTTTCAGATGGAAGAAGAGTCAAAGGCCAAGATCTCGCTGTCGTGGGAAGCTGTGCAGATCTCAAGTGGGTGGCACTTTGGTCTAGTTGTTCTTTTATTTCAGGGCACGGCAGATGCCCTCATTGGAGTACTTTTAAACTCTTTTTTGCTGCCAAAAGGCAGAGACACAAACAATGCGCTGCCTGTAGTCCTTGCCTCCAGAGGTCTGTGAACGAAATGAGGAAACAAAGAGCTGGCAGGAAGGCCTGTGCTAGACCTCTTCAATGCTACACTGTTTGTGGAGTGAGGGGAAAAAGGGAGTCATTTCTTCCATGAGAACAGCCAATGCATATTATTCTAGTGGAAGTACTTAAACACACAGACTAGAGACAGGACATAAAAAACAGCAAATTGCTTTAAGAAAAGATTGAACTCCTGTGGGGGCGGGGGGAAAGATGCTTAGCTTAGCTTAGCTTAGCACTGAGAGGGCAGAGATTAATGCTGGACGGGGATGTCTAGCCCAGGGTCCAGCATGTAATAGGTAAGGAGGTCAATCAGTGTTTACCAGATGATCAATAGAAGGATACTGAAGCATTTTCTACATGACAACCCAATCCTTTTTTTCAGGAAAGACACTATTTATCTTGATCTGCTCTTGAATAGTGTACTGACCAACTACACTCACAAAGAGAAGAATTTTGTCTATAGAAAGTAATTGTCAACATTTTTAACTATTTGCCATGTTAATATATATATTTAAAAGCTTAAAATTTCATGGAGAAAAGAATTATTTTGCCTTTTGGAATTAGTAAATATTGCAACTCTTTGCTAAATAATTCTGAAGACGCCGAGCTGAGAGGTCAGAAGAGATGATGGTTACAAAATAAGTCAGGTAGTTTTTGTTCCCTAACAAACCATCCTAAACCAGGTGGTTGCAATGGTAACTTTATGTGTCAACTTGACCAGGCCATGGACCCAATATTAGGTCAAATGCCAGCCTGATTTTCACTGAGATGGTATTTTTAAATAAGACTAACATTGACATAAACATTAAATCAGTAGACATTGAATAAAGCAGATTACCCTCCGTACAATGAGTGGGCATCATCCAATCAGTTGAAAGTTGAAACAAGACTGAGGTCTGAGGAAGAGGAAATTCTACCTTCACACTACCTTTGGGCCCAAGCTGCAACATCAGCTCTTCCCTGGGTCTTTACCCTGCCAGCCTACAGCCCCACAATCACATGAGTGAATTCCTTAAAATAAATCAATATATATCTTTCTTTCTCTCTTCCTTTCCCTCTCCCTCTCCTATTTTTTCTCCCTTTCCGGAAAGGAAAGGAAAGGAAAGGAAAGGAAAGGAAAGGAAAGGAAAGGAAAGGAAAGGAAAGGAAAGGAAAGGAAAGGAAAGGAAAGGAAAGGAAAGGAAAGGAAAGGAAAGGAAAGGAAAGGAAAGGAAAGGAAAGGAAAGGAAAGGAAAGGAAAGGAAAGGAAAGGAAAGGAAAGGAAAGGAAAGGAAAGGAAAGGAAAGGAAAGGAAAGGAAAGGAAAGGAAAGGAAAGGAAAGGAAAGGAAAGGAAAGGAAAGGAAAGGAAAGGAAAGGAAAGGAAAGGAAAGGAAAGGAAAGGAAAGGAAAGGAAAGGAAAGGAAAGGAAAGGAAAGGAAAGGAAAGGAAAGGAAAGGAAAGGAAAGGAAAGGAAAGGAAAGGAAAGGAAAGGAAAGGAAAGGAAAGGAAAGGAAAGGAAAGAAAGGGCTCTGATCATCGGGCTAGACATATGGGACATGGGCTAATCACTCATGCATCTGAGTCAGCGGCTAGATTGGCGGGGCTGGCTGGTCTGGGATGACTGATCTGGGCTCCACATGGCCTCTCCTCCTTCAGCAGGCTACATGGGGCTTATTCACATAGTAGCTGGGCAGGTTTCCAAGAGAATGAACAGAAGTATGCAAAGCCTCCGAAGGCCTAGGCTTAGAATTTGCACAAGATTACTTCTGCTGCATTCTGTTGCCCAAAGCAAATACAAGGTCAAACCAGATCCAAGGGGGAGCAAAAGATGCTCTCCCGCTTGATGACAGGAACTGCAATGGGACTGTGGCAATTTGTAATCTCCCACACAGCTGAGCTCTCAGCAGTGGTTAGTTTGGAATATATACTACAAAAGGCAAATAAGATGTTCTGCTTGACCTAAAAGAGCTTATAGTAAGTGGGAATAAGGGAGGAATAAGAATAACAAATTATGAAAAATAGTGACACATGAAGTAATTGAAACTATGAAAACTCTAAAATGAGAAATTTAAATCAGCTCAAGTGGACAATAAAACTTTCTCAAAGGGATAACATTTGAGTGACTATAGTCCACGCTAAACTAAAATATATGCCCGAAAGAACACAAAATTTTCATTTAGATAATTAGGATAGCAAATATTTTATTAGTAACTTTAGATAGTGATTCATAGTGAGGATCTTTGAGTTTAACAGAACTGAGTTGGATGCTCAGATTTGCCACTTACTAGCCATGAGAACCTTGGGCAAGTTATGTAAACCCATTGCTACTTAAATTCCTTCAATTGGAAACAAAATAGTACCTACCTATTAAGGTTGGTGTGTGTATTAAGTGAAGTGCATGTAGAGTTGACAACAGTGTCTGGAGTTAGTAATTACTCAATAAATTATGTTATTGCTACCTTTTCCTTGTAAGCATTCATCATTGCATATTTTTGTGTGTTTTTTTAATTCTGAGAGAGATAATTATCAAAAACTCTTTTTGAGTGTTAGAGTTACAAAAGTTAAAACAAATGCTTGAACATCATTTCTCTTGAGCTTCAAAAAAAACCCTTCCTTGGGAAAGAGATATGGTCTGTGCTGCTCTCCGAGACAGCATTGTTCAACGTGGGGTCTGCTGACCTGTACAGGTCCCCAAGACCCTCTCAGGGGTAAGCAAGATCCAAACTATTTCTCTCACAGTATTAAGATATATTTGCCTTTCAAACTGTATTGATATTCACACTGATGGTGCAATAGAAATGGCAGGTAAACTGCTGGCTAACTCAGCACACACCACGGCAGAGGCACTGAACTCTACTGCAGTCATCGTATTCTTCACCTCCAAGCACTCCTACTAGGAAAACATGCCCGTTAGATTTTGGGATCTCATTTTAAAAGTAACATATATTTTCAGTTTGATCACATTCAATTCTTAGGTTACTTTAATATTCTATGTGATAAAATAGAAGTATGCATAAAGCAACTCAGTTGCATAATGAATGAAGATAGTTGCCTTGAAAAAAGAAAATATTGAGTGATTGAGTTGTGAGCTGGACTAGCCAGTTTTTCCAAGGAAACTGGATTTTTTAGTTGAAGAATGAAAGATAAACTCTAGTTGTGCAGAAGTGGGTATTTGGCAGACATTTTCACAAAAACTGAATGAAGTGAGTCTGTTACTTCGAGGAACGTGTTTATTGCCAACGATACATCTCCAGCTTGAAAGCTTCCCAGTCTTCTCATCATGACTTTTCTGATGGGATTGGTGCTGATAGAAATGAAAGGGATTCTGAAGTGCATTTCTAAATGGGTCAATATTTGGAAGACCTGTATAAGTCACAAACCAATATTTTCAAAATGACCAATGCATAATGTTAGAAAATCATGCATGTATGACAGAGTCAGTCAAAGTTCAAGATAGAGCAGTGGATTTTAATGTAATAGCTTGAAAGTTTACTGATATAGATTCAGACTCTACATTACAATTTTTAAGAAACTGTCCACTCATCAATTTTGGTGACTTATCAAAGAAGAATGTCTATAATTATGTAAAAAACTTATTAAAATACTCCTTTTTCTAACTATATATCCATAAGAGGCCAAGTATTCTCCCTATACATCAATGGAAGCAACTTATCACAATAGACTGAATATGCTAACAGATATAAAAATACAACTTTCATCTATCAATCAAACATTAAAAGAATTACAAAAACAAAAACAATTTTGATATTTTTACTAATTATTTTTTGTTTTAGAGATTATAGTTATTTTTATTAAAATATCTTATTGATGTTTAAATGTATTGGACTTGGTATTATCATTTAACTGAGTTAACAAATTTTTTTTACATTTCTCAGTTTAGTTTCTAATACAATAAATATAAATGATGTCATTCACAAAAATAAAAGCTCTCGGAGGCCCTCCATCATTGTTAAGTGTGGAAAGAAATTCTGAACACAAAACCTTTGTGAACCACTGGTCCAAAACATGAAGAAGTTACTGTGGATCTCAGCTTGAAACTGAAGGGCCTGGGCCAAACGGTGGGCATTCAGACCTCTCTTGGTATTGATCGATGTCATCTATTACATAAAATTTATTGAATGTTTATTATCTGCCAGGAAGGTGAGGTTTGGTGTATTGTCAGGATCCAGGTCATGGGAAGCATTAGGTACTTGGCCAGGGTTTTGATTTTACCTTGAAAGCAAAAAAAATAAAAATAACAGAAGTATTTTTTTATTTATTTCAGAGAGGAAGAGAGAGAGAATCATTGATTGGCTGCCTGCTGCCCCCCCCCCCCCCCACTGGGGATCGAGCCCACAACCTAGGCTTATGAATTGAACCATGACCTCCTGGTTCATAGGTCAACCCTCAACCACTGAGCCACACCAGCTGGGCTGAGTATTTTAAGGAGGGGCTGATATTATCATATTTATATTTTAGGAGATAGTATAGGTTGTGTCTATGAATGAAGGCAACAGGTCTGAAGCCAAGATCAGTTGGAGTTTTTAGCTGTGGTCCAGGTGACATGAGATGAGAGTCTCCTCTACTAAAGCAGGTGAGAAGGATGAGCAAGGAGGTCTTTGGGAGAGGGACAGGAGATGGAATCTGCTCTGCTGGGTGACTGAATGGATGTGCAAAACGAATGGCATATTCTTCCTCCAACATCTTAATATTTTGCTCAAATCCAGCTCCTGTTTAACAAAAGCAGTGGCTCTCTCTTTTAATAAGCTGCCTGTTTCAGCAAACATTTTCTGATGCTATTTTTAGACTATTGGAAATTTTAAATATCAGGGGTGGGGGGGTGGGTATTACTGAAGAATTGCTGTCATGGGGCGGAGAGAATTCCTGAGAACATGCATTGGTCTTTTTCCCTTTCTATTCTCACCTTAGAGTCAGACTTCCAAATGAAACTCCCCAATTATAGGGTTTCACATAGTAGAGATATAGAATGCTCTCCCGCTCTTGCCCAGGAAGATAATACATTCTCCTGAGAAAAACTTAGATTTCCAAAAAAAAAAAAAAGATTTACAGTTGTTGGAGAACTTGGTTCATTAGCTGCTTATTTTGAAATCTTATTCCTACAGAAACAGACAGGACAAATGAAGATGGAACCAAAGAGGTGCTAAAAGCTCCGCCATCCGTATTCAAATCCGTGAGGCATATAAAAATAATAATGGAAAAGCAAGGTTTCCAGAACACATTGGATAAATCATTACTATGGAAACATTGTCCTTTTACAAAAGAAAGTGAGCCACGGGGAATTTGAATAACCAGCTCATTCTTCCCTCAAGAGCCATCAACATTAACACTCGCAAGAGGAGAACTGAGAGCGCAACTGTGGGACAGGGAGTCTCTTAGAAACTACTCCACAGCCTTCATCCTGGCTGGGATTAACCAACTGCAGATTTGGTCCCTTTGTCCAATCATGTTAGTGGTTCTTATCATCATTTGCCTGTGAAAACTCCCATTCCCCTTATGACTCCTTCCAACATGAATTTCCTGGGGTCACTTCAAACCTTAGTGTTTGGACAGCATTTATTTTAAAGGTACTCTTAGCAACTTGTTTTGTGTTCTTGTGTCTTGTTTTTGTTTTTGTTTTTTTAACAGTTGCTGCCCTTTTGTTCTAAGGGGAAATTTTCTTCTGTGTATGTTTTGTTTCCTCAGTAAGGTCATTGCTATATAATATTTACTATATATGAAAAAAGAGAGGGTGAGGGAGAGAATATTCTACTCTACCTGGCAGTGGGCTCTCCAGCAAACTCACCCCATCTAAAACTAGTTCTATTTCCAGAATTAGACAAGCAACAACAACACAGTTATTGGAAAAGAGCTCTCCAAAACTTTTACACAGGGTCATAGTGCTACCTTTAATCCTTACCAAGAGTAAAATTACCAAGTTTGATTATTTGGCTTCTGCACAGGAGAACAAAAATAGATTTCTAGAAGCAGACATTGTCAGAAATAAGTGATGGCCAACAGCCTGATGGTGGCGCGGGAAGAAAAGATTTACAGGTAGGAAACAGAAGAACTATGAAAGCCAGTCTTATCCCTTTTCTTTTCATTTCCACAGAAGAGGAAACTTCTACTGCAAACTTTACTCTACACAGGGAGGGGAGAGAAGATGTCAGGGAGAGCAATTGCATTTTTCTCTCTCTACTCCCTTATGCATTCCTTCCCAAGAGGGGAAACTGGTGTGTCAAAGCAGTCAGGCCGGGGGGATTGGTTGATGGGCCCCTGGACCTCAGAATCAACAACCAGGCTATCAAGTTGCTTTTCTTCAACATGCAGATGGAGCCCTTTCTCTTGCCAACTTATTTCTTTCCCAAGGGGGCGTCATGGGCTGTGCTGTTCTTTCTGTCCCCTCACAGCAAGTCCAACTGGGAAGAACGCAGACTCTGCTTCTACCAACCTTTCTCTCTGTTCCACCTGTGAATGGGTGTGCAGAGCAGTCCTATCATCTTCTTGGCCTTGCCCTTGAGTTCAAGTACAGATTACAATCCTGCACTATAAACTCAGACCTATCTATACCTGCCAAGACTGGAGGATAAAGTCACAAGCCCCACTTCCGTCTCAAGGAATCACAGAGTGCATACACAGACTAAGAAAACAAATCCATTGGTCATCGATTGTTTTTAAGACCTGGAGGTAAGAGGAATAAGGAATGAGATTTCAGCGCTGTCATGGATTGAACTGTGTCCTCCCAACATAAGCTGAAGTCTTACCCCCAATACCTGTAAAGGTGACCTTATTTGGAAATAAGGTCTTTATAGATATACTAGAGGCCCAGTGCACAAAATTCGTGCATGGGAGGGGGGTGTCCCTCAGCCTAGCCTGCACCCTCTCCAATCTGGGACCCCTCAAGGGCAGTTGGACATCCCTCTCACAATCCAGGACTGCTGGCTCCTAACCGCTCACCTGCCTGCCTGCCTGATTGCCCCTAACCACTTCTGCCTGCCAGCCTGATCACCCCTTAACCACTCCCCTGCCAGCCTGATCGATGCCTAACTGCTCCCTTGCCGGCCCAATTGCCCCTAATTGCCCTCTCCTGCCAGCCTGGTCGCCCCTAACTGCCCTCCCCTGCCAGCCCAGTCACCCCTAACTGCCCTCCCCTGCAGGCCTGGTCCCCCCCCCAACTGCCCTCCCCTGCAGGCCATCTTGTGGTGGCCATCTTTGACCACATGGGGGTGGCCATCTTGTGTGTTGGAGTGATGGTCAATTTGCATATTACTCTTTTATTAGCTAGATCAAGTTAAAATGAGGTCTAAATTAGGGTGAGCCTAACCCAATGTGACTCTGCCCTTATAAAATGACAAATGCAGGCACGGAGACAGAGGCACACACAAAGAGAACAAACACCATGTGAAGATGAAGATTGGAGTGGTGCATCCAAAAGCCAATGAGCACCAGAGACTGCCAGGAAGCCAGCAGAATCTAGAAAAGGCAAGGAATGATCCCCCTACAGGTTTCAGAGGGTGTGCAGCCCTCCCCACACCTTGAGTTTGGACGTCTTGTACTATGGGACAATCCATTTCTGTTTTCTGAGCCACCCAAGTTTCTGGCACTTTATACACAGCCCTAGGAAACTAATACAGCCACCCAAACCCTTCATACCATTCAAAAGACATGAACAAGTGTTTTCAAAAGATGATGCAAATAATCAGCAAACATAGGAAAATATATTTTTTAAAAACCACTAATCTCCAAGAAATGCACATTTAAAAATTAAGATAGATTTTATTTAACAAAATAACATTTTTTTTCTATAGAAACACCTGCTTTCAAGGTCAGAAAAAGAGATATTCAAACATTTGGTATAAACATGAATTAGTACAACTTTACTAAAGATGCTTTAGAAATATGCATCAGGAGTCTTCTGGAAATTTATCCTAAGGGAATACTGCTAGATTCCATAGCACTTAATACTTTCTAATATACGATATAATTTATTTGTGATTATTCTCAATCTTCACCTATTAGAATATAAATTCTACAAGAACAAGGATTATTCACTTTTATATCTCAAGCACCTAGAATATTGCCCAACAAATTGTAAACACTCCATCAACTCCTGTTGAATATATTAATTAAGATGTCCACCAAGATTTATGTACAAGTGTGTTCACTACAGCATTGCTTACAATAAATATTGGAAAATATAAATGCCCACCAATGGGAGACTGGTTAAGAAAATAATGGTGCTACCACACAATGAAATATCATTTAGCCATTAGAAAGTTAAGTACATGATACTTAAAGCTATGAGAAAACAGTCACAAGATATTAAAAAGTTAGAAAAGTATAATATTAGCTTTACTAAGAAATTGCAACAATGTCAAAATGTTAACAATGATTACCTCTGCCTGGTGAGCTTATAGTCATTTTTGTTTCTTCTCTACGTTTTCATATTTTCCATGGGTGGGAAAATAAAATTTTGAACCATCCACATACTCCACACACTTCTACGTCTATTTCATCACACAGCATGGTGTGATAATAATGTTTATAATAATAACCCAGGGCTATTTTGCAAATATTAAATTACTCCCATATTCCTCTATTTATAGAGAGGGGAAACCTGTGTATGGAAACATGGATTTGATTAGTCTTTATACTTTTCTGTGCTTTTATTTCTAAATTCAGGAGGTGGGCAATTCATTTTTTAATGCTTTCCATTCAAGCAACTTAAAATCTCAAAAAGCTAAAGTTTTTTCAGGGGTAACCTTCAATTGTCTAAAAAAAAGTCATTTATATGAAATACCTAGTTCCCTTATTGCTGGTTAAATGAAACATTATTGCACGTATTCCAGTGGAAAAGGCATTTATTTGACCTTTGGCATTTTCAAGTGTGAATTAATATGGTATTTTCCATACTGTTCAAACTGATCATATCACTAAAATGGCAGAATTATGAAAAATTAGTATCAATGTATGATATCAATTAGCTTCACTGTACTATGGACAATAGCTAAACGTTTTATAAATATTTTTAGTAGTCTTACGACAAGGTTCCACAATACAGGGTAAGAGAAACAGAGGCACAGGAAGTGTGCATGGCAAGTTCAAGTTCACATCGATACATGCCACAGGAAAATTACAGGGATGGGAGTGGCAAGCTCATACAATCCCACCACTCACTGAATTGTGTTTTTCCCCATCCATACACTCTGGTAAGTGGATTTTTTAAATTTAGTGAAAAGCAACCAAATGTAATTCTGCCACTTCCAGGAGCAGAAACAATGTCTTCCTTGGACCATGCACTTGGCATGAAGGACAGTGAACTTCAGTACTTTCACCTTGGCCTCAGCCTGGCTCTCTCCATTCAGATCCACCTGTGGGATTTCTCCTGGGCTGCAGAGCCCAAGGATCTGCTCAGAGCCCAGCTAGAAACTGATCCGCAAATGGCACTAAACTCCAATGCGTAGTATTGGTGTGATATGGTTGTTATATTCAGATTTTGATAGGCTGGCTCTTTTATTGCACCAGTGTGTGTGCTTGAGATATTATTGTATAAGGAAGTACTTAAATTTAAACATTACCAGCCTCGTCACAAATTATCCAAATAAACTATGTCATGATGCTTCTATTTGGCTCTGTCTGCTGAGCAACGATTAGCCAGCCTTTGGTTCTATTGATTCACCATCAGAGCATATTTGTTTAAATGTATTCCCTCCTCTCACCTCCAGGAATTACTTTCCTCACTATCCCCATATGCATGCTAAAGTGAAGTAATGACAAAGAACTAGTCTTAACTTCTACTTCTATATGGATGATTATAGATATACTAGATGGGCACACTGGAAATAAGAAAAATAATAAATACAGTATTTTTAAATTTTCTAAAAATACATTGATATGCTGGCAAGAAAGTAATAAGCCCTAAAAATTATAAGTCCAAGTCAACCAGAACCTAGAAAGGCAAGCAGAGCATTCCCACCAAGTTGTGACCACTGGGCACTTGCCAAACCAAATGAACTTTAGCTACAATGTGTGTGTGGCCTGAGGGGTGGGTAGAAAGAGGTAGAGAGACAAAGGCCAAGACTGGCCCCAAAGCCCATCCAGCCCTTCAAAGAGTGGGATCCTGAAGTTCAGAGAAAATACTTAAATCTAAATACATGATCATCTGGAAGGACGTTTTCTCACAATTACAGTTGCTGTGCAGGGCGCTAACCTCCATTATAACTCTACGACCTTTGTCATTCATCCTAATCTTCCCGCTGTTTATCTTCCTAAACTCACCCATATGACTCTGACTCATGACCATTCCAATAACCTGCCTTGAATCTTCATGGTCCAGTCACACCCTGACTAATTCACATCAAAAAGAATCATGATGCTCATTTTCCAAATCATAAAACAGAAATTAGTTTAGTAGCTTGACAGAGTTATCAATGAGGAGCAAAGAGCCTGTATCCTAGACTTTCACAATTAATGTTGCCTTGTGGTACTAATAATTTGTTTTATTTTGTTTTCATAGGGGGCTTCTCATTCATCCTTAATAAATACGCATTAAACACCTGCAATGATGCCAGCACTCTGCTAGGGGTTCTAGTTGACAAAAAGAAATAGTCTTCCATCAGGTGGGCCTGTAGTAAGAATATCTCAACGTGAATGCTTGTTTATCCAATTACTGTGTGAACTCAGGCAAATTTCTTAACACTTTGAGCTTCATTTTCATTATCTATTGGGGGTGATATTCATCTGCCCTGTCTGCCTAACAGGGTTGCTGTGAAGGATAAATAATAACTGTTGCCAGGAAGATAATAAATATTTCTTGTTGCACTTGGCAACAAGAAAATTAAGATCACTCTCCAAGAGTATTATATCACTTCTAAGTGAAATAAAACAAAGTTGAACTCATAAAAACAGAGAGTAGAATGGTGGTTACCAGGTGCTGGGAGTTGGGGGAATGTTGTTTAATGGTACAAACTTGCAGCCAGAGATCTAATGCACAGAACAGTGATTATAGTCAATGATACTGTATTAAAAACTTCAAGGTTGCTAAGAGACTGGATCTTAATATTTCCCACCACAAAAGTAAATGCAATAGAGGTGTTAGCTAATATTACAGTGGTAATTATATTTCAACATATAGATGTATCAAATCAACATGTCATTCACCTTAAACTTGCACAATGATATATGCCAATTATATCTCAGTAAAAATCAATTTTTAAAAAATCACTTTCCAAGAATTAAATTATAAAATCAAGATGCAAAGAATCAGAACCAAAGTAGGTAACATCAGCTTTAGAAGACAGAATGAATAGCAGGTCAGCAAAAATGAACAATAGTTTGATTCATCACATTAAAAGACATAACCATAGAATGTAGCAATAGTAAAATAGAATATCGAAAACAGCAAAAATAAAAGTCAGAGATGCAAACATTGAACAGTGCCATGGAACCTTACCTGAAGGACTTTAGTACAACGGTTGCAATACCATTATTAGCAAGACCACCTGCATGATGGAGATGAAAATACTAGACTTAATACCTTTCTTGCCTCACCTGTTTTGATTTATAAGGTGGATATGTCTACAGAGTGGTGTCAAATGAGCATTTTTGTTGATGTGACAATTGTAGTTCACTTTGGAAAAATTGTGACTTTAAAATTAGTTTTGTGAGCTTGGCTTCTGTGTACCCATTACTGAGGATGATTTGTTGACAAAATCTAACTTTTGAGCCTACCAGCCTGAGGGCCAAACCCTAAATTCTCCAAGGTGATACTAGCCTGGGAAGATTCAGAAAAGGCAGCCAACATTTTGAATCAGAAACTTCAGGATCTACTAATTTCTTATGGACAACTTTTTCCACCTCTTCACCTGAGCTTGACGTTTAGGAAGAGTTAAAATTTGGGTAAGAGGAGAACCATGGCAAGGGAAAAGGTAAGTCATGGGCAAGTAAATGGACGTGAGAATGAGCTCACCAAATTCAAAGATTAGATAAGCTTTGCTTTTACATGGGGAGTCAGAGATGAAACTAGAAAGGCAGCATGAGGCCAAATTCAAGAGGACCTTAAATTCAAGAGGACCTTAAATGCCAAGAGAAGGTGCTTGGTGTTTATCTCGTAGGTAATAAAAGTAACTGAATGTTTTTGAGCCAAGAATGTTAAGACTTAATGGGTTCAGAGAGATTATTAATCTGTCAATGGTGGGAATAACTAAAGGGCAAAAGACCAGTGAGAAAGTTATTTTAAGAATCCAGTAGCAAAGTTATTAGCAGGATTTGACTAAGGTTGTTTGGTTTTTTCCTGCCCACTGCCTTTCCTTTCATCTGAGAAGGATGCAGCCCTTCTCTTGGAGAAGTATTTCTCCTCCCTCTCCAACCGGTACCTCCAGTACAAGCTGATATAAGGATACCCCATCCCCAGCGTTTGCTCATTGCTCAAGCATTGACATGTGATCCCCACCAAGGCAATCAAAGTCTTTCAGTGGGAGCTTTCAATCAATTCCAACCTGAAAGTGAGACCAATCACCTTCTAGTCATATCTGAACTGGGCAGCTTAATCATATGAGAAACTTTTCTCAATAGTATTGCTAAATTCGAATCATTTCTTGTATGAGCTGGTTTTGCTCCATTTGCTGTTCACTCCTATCTCTCTGCCCATCAGTATACAACTCATGCCTCATCCCAACGCAATGAATCCCAATTATTTCCAGTTCCCAAGTAGCAGGTCACGACTTGCAACTGCTCATCCATGCTCATTTGAGACTTCAAGATATTCTTTTTTAAAAATAAATAAATGAATAATAATAATAATAAAAGATATTCTTTTTCCGTTTTAAAGTCTGATACAAATTAACATTTCATTCTAAAATATTTTCAGTGGCTAAATATTCTCATTAGTATTGCACCAAAGGAAAGTGGTGAGTAAGCCAGTTTTTGACACCCTCGAATTCCTTCCTTTTAGTTCTCATATTTATTACTTGTTTCTTTCCATATTCCCAGTCACATTTTTCTTAATATTTGCTGTTTAGAAGATGGCGGTGTAGGTAAACAGCTGTTCTTGCCACCTCCCACAACCACATCAAAATTACAACTAAAATACAGAACAACCATCATCCAGAACTGCCAGAAAGCTGGCTGAATGGAAGTCCTACAACTAGAGAAGAAAATAAGAAAACACATTGAGACTGGTAGGAGGGGCGGAGGAGCTAAACGGGCTGGTCTGGCACCCACGTGGGCTGCTTTTTTAATCGGGAGGGAGATCATCTCTATTAAGGCCGCCCGGAGGAGCAAGGGGTCCCAACCTCACACTAGAAGCCCAGCCCATGCTCCCAGGGCTAAGAAGAGAAGTCCCCATAACTACTGGCTGTAAAAACCAGTGTGGATTGGGGCTCAGTGACACAGAGGCTGCTGGAGACCCAACTGTTCCTCTTAAAAGGCCAGCACATGAACTGAACTTACAAGGTCCTGCTTCTTCTGAGCTCCAGCACCAGGGCGAGGCTTTGGAGGACACAGACACATACGAGGAGGAACTGGATTGTCTGGCATCAGGGCAGGAACTCGGAGGTGGCTTTCTCCCAGATGGAGGTGCTGGCAGGGATCATTGTTCCTATGCTGCAACTGCCCCCGTCAGGACTGCTGGCAGCCATTTCTGTTTGCTCCACCCTGGTGATTCCTTAAGACCCTGCCTCATCCAATTTACAACCCCACCCAAGCTGTGTGCAACAGCTTTTGCATATGAATGGTCTGTCCTCTCAAACAGGTTGCAGCTGGGTGAGGCAGCCCCAAACCTATCAATAAAAGGCCAAGACCCAGCACCAGCACCAGCCTGCCTTGCTTCATAGCTGGGCCTCCCTTGGGTACTTCCAAACCCGATACAAAGAAGAGAAATCTACAGAGAAATCTCCAGATTTCTCTGTAGCTCCTGCTGGGTGGCCCCAGGCAGTGGCTGACCTTGGGACTCTCTGTGCTTCCTGGACTTGTAAGTCTATTTCTTTCACCAGGTAGGGGAAGTTTTCTGTCATTATTTCTTCAAATATGTTTTCAATATTTTGCGTTCTCTCTCCTTCTGGCACCCCCATAATTCAAATGTTAGTACACTTGAAGTTGTCCCAGAGGCTCCTTACACTATCTTCATATTTTTTAATTATTTTTTCTTTTTGCTCTTCTGGTTAGGTGTTTTTTGCTTCCTCATATTTCAAATCATTGATTTGATTCTCAGAATCTTCTACTCTACTGTTGAATCCCTGTATATTATTATTTATTTCAGTCAATGTATGCTTAATTTCTGACTGATCCTTTTCCATTTTTTGGAGGTTTCTAGAAGATTCTTGAGTAACCTTATAAGTGTGGTTTTGAACTCTATACCCAGTAATTTGCTTTCTTCCATTTCTTTCACTTGTGACATGTGTCTTTGTCTCCACATTTTGGCTGCTTCCCTGTGCTTGTTTCTATGTATTGGGTAGAGCTGCTATGTCTCCTTGAGTTGGTAGAGTGGCCTTGTGTAGTAGGTGTCCTAGAGGGCCCAGTGGCTCAACCCCTCCAGTCACCTGAGCTGAAAACTCTAGGTGTACCCTTTTGTGGGCTATGAGCACAGTATTGTTGGAGGGGGGAATTGACCTCCAGGCCAATTTGCTGGGAGGACCAGCTGTGACTACAGTGGGAGAGCTGCTGTGCAGGAGACACCCCTATGGAGCAGGACTTGCTTCAGTGGGGCTTTGGTGCTCATTTGAGTCTGCCCCTTGAGTGTGCCACTTATGGAGGTGTAGATCTGTAACCTGGTATGGTCTGATACTGACCACTGGGTACACTGGCTCTTGGGTCTCCAGGGAGGTGCAAAGTTAGACATTGCCTGGGACCACCCAGCAGGAGCTACAGAGAAATCTGCAGCTTCCTCCTCTTTATATCGGGTTTGGAAATGCCTAAATGAGGCCCAGCTATGAAGCAAGGCAGGCTGGTGCTGGTGCTGGATCTTGGGCCTTTTGTTGATAGGTTTGGGGCTCCCTGACCCAGCTGCAGCTTGTTTGAGAGATTTTAGCCTGAGCAAGGGCAGGCTTTGGTACTCACTGAGTCGGCCCTTTGAATATGTCTCTTATGGATATGTAGGGTCTGGGGAACTTCCAAGGTTCTGTAGACTGCACTTTGAGAACAGCTGACCTACAGTATATGTGGACAACACAACCCCAAATTCTAAAATAGATAAAGTTTGCCTTCAGCTCACTTCTAATTCCTAGCCATTACTCTGGTATTCAAATACAGGTATCCAGGGTGCTCTTGCTACCTTTTGGTTGCCCAGAAATCCTTATCCAACTGGGACACCAAATTCAAGGCTGCTCTTTTTGTAGTACCACCAGTTCTCAACTTGCCAATTTCTTTCAATCAAAACATATTCATTGTCTGATTATTCCCTGAGCATCCTAACAGGTACCATCCAATTTAATGAACTAAATTGTTAATGGGTGATAATCATTTAATGCCTTAGCCATCCTTCATTCAATAACATATTTAAACTCAAGTCTTCAATACCTCCACCCAAATAAATTAACCATAAGTGAGTGCATCCAATGGGAGGGCTTTTATGTCACTTTCCTCTGATTACATGGCCTTTTCTCTCTTTGCTTAGGCCTGACCTTGTGTGCAAGTGTGCAGTGAATATTGTCAGGTATATATGTGAGATATTTGAACAAATGCTTAGATATTTTGCATCCCTTATTAAGTGCCACTTTCAGTCACATACAGTAGATGAAACCTAGGCAAAAAGCAAACGATACCAGCAGTCAGCAGAATGACAACAAAAATGCAAACTCAGATGGAGGAAGAAATGCTACAGCTCTGACATTCAGAGACAAACAATTTATAGTATCAGTTCCCTAACACCTAGCAATTTTCAACTTAACCATTTTTAGGAATAAAACTCAATAGCATGCCCTAGCTGGTTTGACTCAGTGAATAGAGCATTGGCCCATGGATTGAAGAGTCCCAGGTTTGATTCCAGTCAAGAGCACATACCTCAGTTGCAGGCTTGATCCCAGGCCCTGGTTGGGGCCATGTGAGAGGCAACCAATCAATGTGTTTCTCTCCCATCAATGTTTCTCCCTCCCCTCCCTTCCACTCTCTCTAAAATTCAATGGGGAAAAAAATGTCCTCAGGTGAGGATTAAAAAATACTCAATAGCATTCCAAAACTATTTACAATATAAAAGGCCTTATATTATAAGTAAGATACAAGCATTGGTTGTGATAACATACAATTTTGACATCTCACTCTTCCAAAAAGAGGAGAAAATGGGCCTGGGCTAATTTCACTAAGTCATTTGAAACCCACAGAAAGATAATATTGAACTATTGAGTTATGGTATTAATGAGCATCAATATACACATTGCCTCAAGATAATGAGGCCACATTCTCCTGGTGTAGGATGGATAATTAATGCTTCCAATTATCATGAATTTTCAGAGGAAACAATGGTTAGCAACCGCCACGCTTTGCAGATTGAAGTAGCCAAGGAAGAAAACCTCTCAGAAATTTTCATATCACTTTCTGTGACACAAACCAGGCTATTTTGAAAAATATTGTTGTTACATGGGAAACAAAACAATTTTTTTCTAAAGTACCAAATTTACAGCATCCACACAAGTGTGACAAGAGGTTTCACAAACTCTCTAGTCCCACGTGGTAGGTCTGTTCTCTAGTAACTTGATCCACTGATGACTCCAGGCTGTTTGCATGGATTGGCTCCTAATTTTGTAAAATCCAAATATATAGCCATACGAAAATCCAAACCAGGCCCAAAAGTTTTGCACTTTGGTGACTGAAAGAGATGCTGCCTTGTTAATCTCAAAGGATTGGCAGAGCAATTTTATCACGTTTTCTGAAAAAAAAATCTATACAGATTTAAGGTCGTGTTCTGGATTTAATTGAAGTAACCTTTTGTACAATCTAGCTTTAATGAAGTGCAATGAAGTAAAACTCCATGGGGGCCATTAATCTGAAACACTCCATTTAAAAACTACAAGGGGAGTTTTTAATAAACAGTGTGAACTAATGCCCATGTGGAAAGGTAATTGAGAGGGAACTGGTATCTGGGCCAGATTGTTATTAAGCCCTTATCACAGGTAAAGCTGAAACCCCCAATGGCAAGCTGCCCCGTGATTTATATTGCCCTTCTCATCCTCGCTTTAAAGGAAAGGCTACGTTTAATAATGAAAAAATCCTGTGACTAAGCCATAAAATAACTGAGCAATTACTTAGAATAATTTATACAGTGTAATACACTGACCTTGCTTTAAGCATAAAATCTACAAAATAACTTTGGCCATAAAACCGTGAACTACTAAAAGGACTAAAGGTTTTAACCATTTTTATTGTGTGGCACCTGGAGGGACCATAAATACATATTACACTCTAATCACGGGGCTTAAGAAAATTCATAATTTTTTTCCATTAAAATGGCTTCTCAGAGAAAAGTTTACTCAATTTGGCCAATTGCAAATCAATTCCAATGCTCTTGCTTTAGAAAAGATTACATGTAATTTCTTTCATTTTTTTCCGCATGTGAATTGTGCCTGACTCTCTCTTTTAACTCATAGCCAGGGCCTACAAAGGAAAACTGGTGATAACTTTTCCATATTACCTATTTAAATATTTACTCTTTCAAAATTAAAAGAAGACAGAAAAGAAGGCAACTGGGCTCTATTGCAATAGTGAGGATGGACGCTGTTCTCCCCAGCCTACTGAAGCAAGGATGCTTCTATTTCTGGAGAAGTAAATAATACTCCACCACTCAGCAATCCACAATCAATGTTTCCACTTTCCACGGTGGCTTTCAACAACAAAGTTCGGCTCTTACTCCCAACTGGCACAGAGCAGCGCATAAGCAAGCATGACACATCTCTCCAGCCACCTTCAACTTCTCAATCACCGTAGCTGAGCAAATACTTTTTCTCCGAATGTTTCGTATTCATGAAATGATTCCAACAGATTGTCTTTCAACTGACTTCAAATTCCATGAAATCCAGTCTTTTTTTTAAGATTGGAATATCAGTACAGCAAAACTCTGTAAAAACAAATTATCAGAGCGGCATCTTTTCTTTGCAACATAAAAACGCTGCACTCCTAAGGTTTACCTTGCCTTACCCCCAATAAACTTAGCTCGTTTAGCTCCCCAATGAGAAGAAAGTCACAAAGATGTTGTCCCTGGAGTGGCTTTACATAAACAGATGCTAGAGGAAAACCTCTCAATCAAAAATATTGCCTGAATATTTCACTTTTATCACCCCTTGAGCTACAGATGTAAGCGAGCTATGGCTTGAAAGCAAAAAGGCCTTAAGGGATGACACATTAAGCCATTGTTAGTCCCTTAAAAACACCTTTAAAAACGCCTAGCAGAGCAGCTAACCCTTAGTCTGGAGGGACGGTAATAGGAAAGTCCCAGGAGTTCTAGCCCCACCTCAGGGAGGCATGGACTCAACTTAG